AGAGAGAAAGAGAAAACATTAGAGTTTAGAGAGAGAAAGCAAAGTGGTTTTGCGAGGTGAGAAGGGCGGTTTCGTAACGGTTGTTGGCGGTTTTGCGTTTCGGTTAATCATCCATAGATCTTCTTCTTCTGTGATCGTTCGTTACGGTTATACTAAGGAAGTGGAATCGAAGAGTTTGGAGATTTGATTGGTGTTTAACGCTAAATTGCTCATTAAGCTCCTCATTGACGGTGTTTTAATCCTTAATTATTGTTGTTGTCGTTGGTTAATTTCTGGTGTTGCATATAAAGAGCTCAAAAGATTTCTGTGAGAGCAGAGAGCAGAGAGAGAGAGAGAGAGGGAGTATTTTTGTCTTTGGTTACGAAGATTTTGGAGGAGAAAGAGAGTTCAATGATGGCAAATCGAGGAGGTTCGTTTTCGCCGGCTGAAGGTAAAAAAAACAAAAAAAAAAAGTTGATTTGATTTCTTGTACTTGCTCGGAGTCTGCTTGATTTTTCCCGAGAAAATGCAAAGTAAAAAAATTTGCTGTTTTTTTGTGGGGTTTTGTAGTGGGCGAATTGTATCCGGAGCTATGGAAGGTTTGTGCCGGTCCGCTCGTCGACGTTCCTCGCGTGAAGGAAAGGGTTTATTATTTTCCGCAGGGACACATGGAGCAAGTAAGTGCTCATGATTTAACTTTGTTTTTCAGATCGGTTTTTGTTTGTTTCCCGGTAAAAAGTTTTTGTTTTTGTTTTTCACGGGAAAGTCATGAGCTTTGAATGTTGTATTCTGCTTCACCAAGTTTCAATTTTTGCGTTGACATGAAATTGAATATAGTGTTTTTTTTTTTTTTTTGGGTGCTAATTCTTGTAGTTAGAAGCCTCAACAAATCAGGAGTTGAATCAGAGGATTCCACTGTTTAATCTTCCCCCGAAGATTCTTTGTACTGTTATCAACGTCCAGCTCCTGGTATTCTCTCTCCCTCTCTCTCTCTCTCTGATTTTACTCTTTGTTATTTTCGATATTTGTTTCCCTTTATTATACCTTGAATTTGTCTATCCTCGAGTTTGGGTTTGTTCAACATGGAAACTGATATCACCAAAAGGGTGCATTGGTTTTCCTCTTTTTAGGCTACTTGTTAAAAGGGTTTGTTTATCTGTTTCTCAAAAGACCAAAATAGATTCTTTGATTCTTTTCCTTGACTTACCCGAATTACCAACTTATATAGGCGGAACAAGAAACAGATGAGGTTTATGTGCAAATTACTTTGATGCCAGAGTTAAATGTAAGAGCCAGTTACACTTCTTTGTGATTTCAACGGGTTGATAATTGTTTTTAAGATGCTCAAATTAAATGGTTTGATTGTGCCAAAAAAATCTCCAGCAAACCGAACCTACAAGTCCTGATCCTCCCGTTCCCGAGCCTCCGAGGCCGACTGTTCACTCATTCTGCAAGGTTTTAACTGCGTCTGATACGAGCACTCATGGTGGATTTTCTGTTTTGCGGAAACATGCCACTGAATGCCTTCCTCAACTGGTAAATTCTGCTTGTCTCAGATCTTGTTCTCTTATTTTCATCAATCATCTGTGTGTTTATGTTAACTTGCTGTTGACTTATGTGTTTGAAACTTTGAATCTTCTTCAGGACATGACTCAGTCAACCCCAACTCAGGAATTGGTTGCCAAGGATCTTCATGGTTATGAGTGGCGATTTAAGCATATTTTCAGAGGTAGTGGTCTTTATATGTTTGGCTGTTTAGTTGTTTCTAATGCGTGACTTTCAGGTTGAGGAGATTTTTCATTTTCCATTCATTTTCTTCTCTATTCATCATGGTTTGGACAACCGGACTATGGAAATCTTGGTCATGTTATCATACGAGTCCTTCAACCAAACCCAAATGGCTTATTCTTAGAAAATTCTCTGTTTAACGGAGCAGGTCAACCAAGAAGGCATTTGCTTACAACAGGGTGGAGTACATTTGTTACTTCTAAGAGATTAGTTGCCGGGGACTCTTTTGTATTTCTCAGGCATGATGCTTTTTCATCTTTTCTTATTAATTTATTTTCTATAATTAGAACAGTTATTTACCCCACCCCTCAACAATGTCGCATCAAGTAGTTCATCATATGGTATATGAAACTTTTAGTTGCATATATCCCATGTGCCATGGATCTAATGATAACATATGTAATACTTCGTTGGGCAGAGGTGAGAATGGGGAGTTACGCGTTGGCGTGAGACGTCATGCTCGTCAATCAAGCAGCATGCCATCATCTGTAATTTCAAGTCAGAGCATGCACCTAGGAGTGCTTGCCACGGCTTCTCATGCTGTATTAACCCAGACCCTCTTTGTTGTTTATAACAAACCACGGTATGTTCATTTCAAGTCTCAATGTTTTTATCAATTTTAAATGGACTCTGTCGGATTGTAACTGATTATTATTATTATTTTTTTTTGGTAAAACCTTTTTAGGACAAGCCAGTTCATTATTAGCTTAAACAAGTATCTGGAGTCTCTAAGTAATAAATTTGATCTTGGCATGAGATTCAAGATGAGATTTGAGGGGGAAGATGCCCCTGAAAGAAGGTAACATAAGCGGTACATGGTCGTTATAAGTTTTTTATTTTTCTTTTTCAGTTTTCTAATAAATACTTTTCCTTTTTCTATTACTTAGGTTTTCCGGCACAATAGTTGGCGTTGAAGATATATCGCCTCAGTGGGTGAATTCAAAGTGGAGATCATTAAAGGTAAATGTTATCCTTCATTTTTTATCCTTCCTTTTGCCCTTATATTCTTAAGTGAAAATTAGTGAAACAAGCTCTCGTCTATGCCCCAGGTTCAATGGGATGAAGCTGCATCAATTCCTAGACCTGATAGAGTTTCACCATGGGAGATTGAACCTTTTGTGGCTTCTGCGCCTGGAAGCTTGGCTCAACCACCTGTGCCAAAGAACAAAAGGCCTCGACCACCCAATGATAATCTATCCCTTGGTATGATTATTTTTTGTTAATTTATAGTGTTCCTTTTGTTTCACTTTTACGGCAAGTAAGTTGATTTTGTTTTTGACTCTGTTTTTATTTGGAATTTAGATACTACAAGTTCTGCCGCCTCAGTTGTCTGGAATTATGGATTGACTCAATCCCACGATATTACACAACTAAGTGTTGCTGCTGAAGCCAAAAGAAATGAAAATCATGTTGTACGACATCATCACCAGACAGATCCAAAGGGTCATGCTGAAGGGACCTGGCTATCTTCTCCCCATCCAACTGGTTCCCAGCAACATTTCCAGGATGCCTCGGAGGATAACAAAAGTATATCTGTGGGCCCTATTTACTTTGGATATTCAACTCAAAACCTTTCAAAGCAAAACAATGATCAGATCTTGGACCAATGCGATAAAGGGAAGAAAATTGAGACAACTGGTACTTTTAGATTGTTTGGTTTTGAGATGATTGATCATTCACCAAATTCACCTTCTGTAGAGAAGGTATCTAGACAACCAATTAGTGTTTCTACGGCAACCACTGAGGGGCAAGTTAGTACTTTGTCGGTTGCTGAGGCAGAGCAGAAATGTGGCAGTTCAAAGGCTTCAAAAGAAGCCATTCGTGAGCAGTTATCAAAAGAGACTCAAAGCAAACAAAGTTGCTCGGCTTCTGCAAGGAGTCGCACCAAGGTGCTGAAAGTAGAATATCATTTAAATGCCAACTTTACATTAAGGATTTTATGTTCTCTCAAACGAGTTTCTGATACACACGTTGTGTTTGTTTTTGGTGTACGAACATGCAAAAGGTTCAAATGCAAGGAGTTGCTGTTGGCCGGGCTGTGGATTTGTCCTTGCTGGAAGGATATGACCAGCTGATAGATGAACTGGAAGAGATGTTTGACATCAAGGGGCAGCTTCGCCCACGTAACATGTGGAAAATTGTTTTTACCGATGACGAAGGGGATATGATGCTTCTGGGCGATGATCAGTGGCAGTAAGTATTCTTAACACCGTCACAAATTTCATTGTCACTTTGTTTGTATTCAGTATTCAGCTTAATCTTGTGACAGCTTCCACAATATGATATTTTTATATTGTCATTGCTGTTGCAGATTCTTCTGTAAAATTGTAAGGAGGATCTTCATATGTTCAAGCCAGGACGTAAAGAAGATGAAATCAGGGAGCAAACTTCCAATGTCTTCATTAGAAGGTGAAGGGACCGTAATAACCTCGGAGTCAGCAGAAAATTGATACATTGAACTTTCATTCCTCCTTTTCTTTTCCCTTGTTTGTTGTGGGGGGTCATGTTTGTATTGTTTGTTTGTTTGATGGGGGTCATGGTGGGTGTGTTCTAATTTTGGTCAAAGTGAGAACAGTTTGAACTTGGAATTTGTTTGATGGGGGTCATGGTGGGTGTGTTCTAATTTTGGTCAAAGTGAACAGTTTGAACTTGGAAGAAGAAGAGAAATTGGCTAATTCTTAGCTCGTTTTTTAGAGCTAACTAGAAGTAGAAATTGACCGGAGTCAGAAAAGTTCTAATGCATCAGTGGGAGTAGATGGTAGGGATTAGAATCTGTGAATATTAATTTAATACCCCTTTTGCTGTGGGCGGCAAGTGGGGTCTGGGGATGTGGCCGAGGTTTGTGTATTTCTTCATTGTTATGTAAATATCGGTGTTTTTCTTATTGTAATCTTTGGTTGTTAGTGAGTGGCAATTATGCAGTCTTCTGTTGCTATCTTTTGCTCTGAATGATTCGAAATAAGACCATGTCTGCGTCATTAGGAGCAAGTTATTGTGAACCTTTCCGCGTTGGATTCTCTGAATGATTCATAAAGGTTGAAGCTTTTAGGTAGGAGTTTCGCGTCTTATAAATAACGAGCAACCCATATTCAATGCATACAAATTATCTATCAAGCCAAATTGGCCGTGTACTGAGCCAACAATATGCCCTTTAACTAAGTAATAGCGTTGAGACAGGACCAAAGAGTGTCTGCTGGTGAGATTTATGCTTGTGTTTGGGTTTGGCATGTGTGCTTTGTACGCACATGGAAAACGCTGGTCACTAGTCAGCCCGACATCAATGTCGGGAACACCGGGTTGGTTGAAAGTTCAAAGACTTATAAATGAGCACGTTGAAAGTTCAAAGACCTATAAATAAGCACGTTGAAAGTGAAATTGAATGTCAATGGATCCCACATATAGACGAAGTGAAAGTGAAAAGATACAAAATGTAGTCGGACGTTTGGTTCAT